CCCCCCCTCACCCGGCTCACCGATAAACCGTGCAGTCATCTTTTAAATACATATTAAATGAAATTATTGTTTTAAATACTCCCGACTGCTGACCGATATGACGTATATTTAAAACCATCACAGTACTATCACGAGTTAAATTGTAATATATTACCACAAAAGTAACTGATTATTAATTATTAAAGTTGCCAATACAAAGTGAACATACGTAAATTGTATTCGACTCTCATGGGACATTTCGACTGCCCGCGGAGCGGTGAGGAGGACAATGCAACATTTGGTTGATTTTCGAATCGCCTCCGTCTAGCTTTCGCTATCCCTCTCACAACACCGCACCGCGCATAATATATTACTAGGAAAAATTACCGTTTTAAATTTAATTTGGAAATTTATTTGAGCGGATATTAATTTAATTTTAATTTGTTGTACGCTGGTCTCACAATGCGTGGGGAAATAATTAAGGGGAGTTTATTTCAAATTATTATAGTTGCGTTTTAAAGACCGACTGTGTTCGGCGCGCAATTTGGGGGAACCTTTCAACGTCTATTACTTGAAAATTATGCGAAGAATATTACTACGTCGACTCGTCAGCAGAGGTCTATGGATGTTCGTAAAGTTTCTCGCAAGTGCTGAAATACGCGCATATTTGTATATATAGAATCTCGATTTAAGAACTAAAACAGGCGTCTAAGGTAGGCTTCCACTACATTACCTTACTGATGAGTCCAGTAGTGGAAGCCGGGACGAAACGCCAACTTGTGATATTCTTCGCAATTTACTAAATTAATTTTAAGTATTCGGTTGTGGCTGTTGAGGACTTTGTAAAGTCGAAACTGTCCGTATATACCGGTATTATAATAAATTTATATATATTTCTAACATCTATTATAAGCTCAATGTGTTCTTGACCTGGGAGGTATATTAAATTTACTGTTTTATATTTATTTAATATTTAATAATTTTGTTTTATAATATGCAATCGCGTTAACGAAAAAAAATTAATACCAGACTTGTGTTCCATTCGTTATATAACGATTATGAGTCTATTACTTGATATTTTACAAACACACACACACACACACGCACACACACGGGCGGGTGCAAGGAGGTGGCCTTCGGCCACCCCCCCGCACCCACACCGTTGACAGAGGTCTCCCCCGTACTATCATAGCATGACAGTACTATCATAGCAATAGTACAATCGTAAAAGTCGTGTGCTCCTGTGCAGGGGGGGAAGGGGTAAAAGTTACTTCGCGTGGAAAGTTCAACGTTTCTGAACAGGGAAAGGTGTAGAATAGTACTTCATATCATACATGATAGCATACGTTAAAACTATAATGATTAATAATTTTTTAACGAAGGACGAGCGACAGCTAAAACCTGTTGAGGCTTACTCAGGGTCATGACCTTGACAACATATGTCAAGGTCAAAGTCATTGGAGGGAGGTCCCCTGATTGAGACATTTACTATTTTAAAACTATAATTGTTAATAACTTTTTAACGAAGGGCGAGCGACGGCTAGTTGTTAAGGCAAAGTTACTCAGAATCATGACCTTGATAACATATGTCAAGGTCAAGGTCATCGGTGCTGCCTCCCCTATTCTAAATAATTCCCTTGAATTTATCTAGGTGATTATAAGAAGAAGACTGTAATATTACGAGGTATACAAAGACTGTTTTATTGTATGCAACAGACACAAAAACAGACAGACAATAGCGACAACCGTAAACTCCGTGTCGGTAACGTAACGAATGCTGATGGTAAACTTACTGATGAAACTTCATATACGATACTCTTCCCCCCTTTTTTGTATTTAGAGTACATGAATTTCTAAGGACAGTGCGGTTAGCTTGGTGTACATCGTAGTGAAGGATGGCGAGGTCTCGTAGATCTCCGTACGATTTGAGGTGACGTTTACTGTGAAAAACAGGAAATGCATAAATCATAATTTTATGGTTTATCGACACCACTAGTCTATTGTATTCAACTATATTGCTTATTTTAGTGACGTTGTTTTAAAAATTATGTTATTTATTTATTAAATTATATGATTAAGCAAGAAAAAGAAAAATGCAAAAAAAAACACATAGATAATTCTATACATACAGTCCTAAATATTGATTTTGTTGGATCTTCATTGCTCGAAGGCATCCATATCAGGACATTGGACTTACTTGCCGTTGCAAGAATAGGAATATGGGGATGACCTAAGCAATGATGACTCCACACCTATACAATAAATGAATAAAAGTTATTTTGTGCAACACATACTACGAAGAAGAAAAATTTGTTTATCAAATGCACAAAATGAAAACACTTAACGTGTTTGTAATCTTCTATCAACCACTGTGCCGCTGTTCTTTTTTTCTTGTCATAAATGAATATATCACCATGGTTGGATGCAGATATAATAAATTCACTTTTAGGTCCGAAAAAATTGATTTCAAGTATAGCTGCAATCACAACACATAACTAAGACAACTTAATATCTACTATTAATAAATCATATTATGATTATTTAAAGCGTCGCTTTTTCAATTACCCTTTGACGGAAAAAATATAAAGAATGTACATATATAAAAAAATCTTTAAACAATAATCTCAGAATAAAAATTAATAATTAACAAATAAACCATTCAATAATGTTATTGTATGCTTCTTCTTTTTTGAAATATACTTAAAATAAAGAGTTCTAAAAATAAAAAAAAGTAAAATACCGGGAATATAATAATAATATAATTACATTCAGAATAACGTCCCTCGTCTATCTCATCAGGTACACCAGGTACAGAATCACTAAATTGATAGCGATCAAATAATGTCGGATTCGAATTTCCTTCACACGACCACATTGATTTATCAAATAATAATATGGAAGATTTACACAATGTTAGAATCTCTGTCCCATCGTGATTATACATGGCGATATCTGCATAATCCGCCTAATACATTTAAATTACATATGTAATTAAAACTCATATAAAAAACATAAACACTGTAGTATTTCTTTAAATATTGATAAACTTTTCAGCAATAGGTTTGAATCAAACTAATACATACCTTGTCATACTTGGTGATCCACAATTTATAAAGTGGTTTCGAAATTTTTCGCTGATCATACACCCTTACGCATGTGGAAAGATTATCGCAGACACAAAATTCATTACTATTAGAAGGATTACAATGTATACTTGTTAAACAACTATTTCGACATCTCTTTATATAGCGCAATCTATGGATATGAACATAAATGTATATAATATTATAATGGATATATATATATATATATATAACATGATTATTACAGAACAAAAATAAACACTTTTATCATGTAAACTCAAAATTTATTAGTATAACTAATACAAACACGAAGCCTATAACAGTCTAGCTTGGATCTTTAATTGTTTACACATAAACTACTGCGGTATTATCACAAATTAAAATAAATTATTGCGAGGAATATTACTATGGCCTCGGTAGTCTAATTGGCTAGGACACTTGCGCGTAAAGCAAGGTATCCGGGTTCGACTCCCGGCCGATGTAATATTTCTCACAATAAGAAGAATTATTTCCAGATTTAGTATTTTCGGATTATTAGAATTGCGTTCAAGACCAACGATAGTTCGACGCGCAGTTTAGGGTGACTACGTATATTAGTTAATTATTCATTTGTTTTAATTCGTGATAGTACCGCGGTACATGTAAGCAATTAGAGATCCAAGCTAGACTGTTGTAGGGTTCGTGTTTGTATTAGTTATGTTCTTACACATATTAACGGTCTTTAGTATTGAATATTGTCAAAATTTAGTATTGCGTCTATGTAGAATTTAATCGACTTATTCTCATTTCTACTAATTAACGTAGATTAAATTTAATTTTGTTTTAACTTTTTTTGTTATAATGGTCGAACCTGGATCTTTTATGCCAGCATATCCTATTTTCCGTTTGTTGAGTTTCAAATGTACGATTCAATAAGATTCTTATCATTTTTTTCTTGTCCAAAGTATTATAAGTTGAACCAAGATTAAAATTAATCTACATTTTAAAAATAGGCATTAACTCCGGTGCAAACAATATAAGTATATTTTGGTTTAACTTATCGTTCCTGTTTTTCTAATTCTTGGAATTAAAAAAACAGAAACAATTATGAGAATTAGGAAAAGATTAACAGTAAGTTGAACCGAAATAAATCAATATTACTTTGGTTGAACCGGGCTATAGCTGTCATAACGGTCCAGTCATCTTTCAATCACAATGTGATTGATTCGCATATAAGTACACAGGACGATCCCGTGCTACACTTAACGCCAGATAATGGTCGCTTTCAGCAGACTCAACAGTTTTATAATTATTTTATGACTCTTCGTTGAGATAGGATTATTTCTTTAGATCAAAAAGTATAATCCAATCAGCGAGACGAATTATAAAACGGTTGCAAAACTGTTGAGTCTGCTGAACACAGCCAATACAACGATTTTTGGTAGAAAAAAAATTAATATTATATGTAGACATTCTGCATGCTATAAACAAAGAATATATAAGAAACATTATTACATGTGAACTTTTTAATAACAATTTCTTACTTTGGTGTATCCTCCCGGATATCTATGGATGAAATCGAGCCGAATCCAGCAGAAAACACGACATAGGGTATTTCAGGATGCACAGCCAATGACCTGTCATTCATAAAATGTTGTACCGGATCAGGAAAGTGTGAATCTTCAACGTGCAACAATTTCCATGAGTTGTATTCAAGATCTAATAAATGTATTCCACCAAAGAAACTACGAGTGACCATAAATTTTTCTACGTCTAGAGGCAGCCATTTGGCCTAAACACATATATTATTAAATTGAAAAGATTAATAAAAAAATACAATTAAATCAGAATAACTATTACGAAACATTCAAATAACAATATTTTATTATATAATATAAATACATACCTCGGTTAGGCGGTAATTGGGACAGCGGCTGGAACAACGCTTTTTCCTTGCAGCCCAATCCCAAATAGAAACTGTCAGTGGATTGGCTCTTGCTAATAAGTTTCCATTTTGATTGAAACTTAAGGCACTCACTTCCTGTAAATAATAACGAAATTTTAATACCTATAGCTAAACATGATTTAAAAAATCTATAATAATGATCCAAAAGTAATGTATAAAACATTGTATATAATAAGTCAACATGTATCAAAATAAATAATTTACCTCAATGTCATGGAGTTTGTACTTAAACTCCAGTCGATTTACTGCATGTAAAGAACTATAAAATCTTCTTTGGAATAATAGATTACTACCTATTTGTCGATTTATTACTTCCTGCACAATGGACCAATTAGGAGGCGGTTTCGTTGTTTCTAAATTATCCGATAACATGTTTTCTTCTTTTAATTTTTTTCTATTACTACTGCTTCTGCTTCCTCTTCTATATTCAATTCATTCTTGTTAGCAACAAAATATTCATTCGAGTCAGCTGTAAAAAATTTAGAATTTAAAATTTTATCAAAAAAGTAATGCAAAATTTATATGTAAATTTACATATATATAAACTTTGCATTTATTTTTTGATAAAATTTAAAATTCTCTGGCTATTAAATAACGAGACTGCGCGTGCAGAAGGCGTCCTAGAGGGGTAGGGTGGGAAACGAATGCAGCGTTGGATAGTTGGAAGTGTCTACTATTCCAGTACGAAAACACGTTTTTGTCGCTGTAGTAGTATTTTTTCTATAGAGGTTAGAAACGAACGTGTTTTTTTCTCGTGTCGATAACAATGTGTGACGAAAAACACGAGCAACGGATCAATGTGAAATTTCTCGTTAAATTAAAAAAAAATTCGACTGAGTGCTATAAGTTGTTGAAAGAGGCCTATGGTGAGAATTCTCGACCAACGTCCAGGTCGACCTGTTTCTGTTTCAACTCCGCAAACAGTGACCAAAATCAATGAAATTGTGCGCGGAGATCGTCGTATGAGCATTCGGATGATTGCTGAGACTGTAAACGCCGATGAAGAAACTGTCAGAAAAATTTTACATGACGAATTAAACATGAAGAAAGTCTGTGCGAAGTTGATCATCTTCGATGCTCTCTCGGCCTTCAGAAAACCGTTTATACCATTCGAAAACACGCGCACAAGATAGAGAATTCTCACCATAGGCCTCTTTCAACAACTTATAGCACTCAGTCGGATTTTTTTTTAATTTAACGAGAAAGGGTACCCTACGGTAAGATAGGCGAAACGCCCTTGTCAAAGAAATCGAAAAATGAATTTGGATTTCCATAAGCATACCAAAAAAAGAATTTTCTACGATTTTTTCGACCACTCATCCCCCCTCCTTTTCCTGGTAGACCAAAAAAACCGTTTTTTTCGAATTTTTTTTTATCTGCGGTTCCTTAGCGTTAAAAATTTTTTTTTAAATTGAGAGTATAGCTTTCGAAAAGCTCTTAACACACAATTTTTTTGGGCAGCAGGCGCATTGGATACCTAACCTAAAAAAATTAAATAAACATTTAAATCGAATTTTTTCTGATTTCTGTGATAGCTGCAGATCTAATTATTTCAGAAAATTGTATATTTTAGTGTTTTATGTGTACTGGAATTTTTTCAGATTTTTCGAAATGGTGGGTCGTACTCAAAAATGCGAAAATCTCTATTTTTTGCCACTTTTGTGCCTTTTTTGGTCCTTGAATGATTCACAATGCCTTAACTGACTCTAAAATAAACAATATTTGACTTTGGAAATATGTTTCATACATACCGATACGTCTTATATGTTTTTGAGCATTAAATCGGACGTAGTTGAACGAGAAACCCCTACTTTTTATATAAAAGTGCCTATTTTTTCTCGATCTCATACGATTGATAAATATATTTTATTATAACACCATGATCGGTTTGCAATTCCAAAATATATGAAACAGTTTTTGCTAATAACGAAAATATTCTGTACATGTGCCAATCAGCACACGTATCCGCTGGCATGTGGCTTCCCACGAGCGATACTTTTCGGTCTCATGTACTCGGGCCTATGGTCAAAAATAATTATAAACTATAATTCTTTTTTCATGCGACTAATTTTTTAACTATAATTCATTTACAATAAGAAATAAATCTTTTGATCTACTTTTTATAAATTAACATTTTTTTGAATTCGATATAATAAAATATGTGTTGCCCAATAGGCGAAACAGAGCATTTTTATAAGCTGTTTTAAAACTCCCTCTACCATAAGAAAATATTCGTTGAAATATACCTATAACAGGTTTAATTTATGATATTTATATTGACATTTACCTATCCTATGCAAAAAAAAACTTGGATAAAATAAAAAAACTCCGGAAATCCACAAAAATACGTGTTTTTATACAAAAAGGGGTTTCTCGTTGAACTACGTCCGATTTAATGCTCAAAAACATATAAGACGTATCGGTATGTATGAAACATATTTCCAAAGTCAAATATTGTTTATTTTAGAGTCAGTTAAGGCATTGTGAATCATTCAAGGACCAAAAAAGGCACAAAAGTGGCAAAAAATAGAGATTTTCGCATTTTTGAGTACGACCCACCATTTCGAAAAATCTGAAAAAATTCCAGTACACATAAAACACTAAAATATACAATTTTCTGAAATAATTAGATCTGCAGCTATCACAGAAATCAGAAAAAATTCGATTTAAATGTTTATTTAATTTTTTTAGGTTAGGTATCCAATGCGCCTGCTGCCCAAAAAAATTGTGTGTTAAGAGCTTTTCGAAAGCTATACTCTCAATTTAAAAAAAAATTTTTAACGCTAAGGAACCGCAGATAAAAAAAAATTCGAAAAAAACGGTTTTTTTGGTCTACCAGGAAAAGGAGGGGGGATGAGTGGTCGAAAAAATCGTAGAAAATTCTTTTTTTGGTATGCTTATGGACCCGATGAGAACACATATGTAGTATCCACGTGGAATCTACGTGTTATACGTGGACTACGTGGATTAAAAATTTATTTACATAATATCCACATGGATTCTACGTAGACACTTCCATATAGATTTCAATACGTATAATCCACGTGGATTGCATTGAGTAATAATCGATGTTAATTTATCCACGTGAATTCAACGTTACTATTTCCTATTTTTATCCCCATTAAATTTTATCAGTAATTCCACATGGATTATACATATTGAAATCTATATGAAAGTGTCTACATAGAATCCACGTATTTATCAATGCATTTACCACAATATAACTTTTAATGCATAAACAATTTATAAATATTTTGATCTATATACATATATATATATACCCGTGTGGAAATTTCCCTATTTTTTCTTTGTTGTATTCCTATGAGATTTCCCTAAAAAAAGGAACACTAAAGGGATTCTATTCCGTTTTCCTAAAACATACACTATATCATATAAACACATAAACCATATGTTTCTAATATTTCTATTGAACAGATATATCACAATTATACAGACGTTGACATACAGATTCGTGGGTCATCGAAGTACAGCAGTTTCCTTACGATTGTCAAAGTCAAGCAGCAAGGTTCGTGGTACAACTTCGGATGGGTGACATCATGAAAAAAAATTTAACTCTCGAATTTAGAGGAAAATTTTTTTTTCACGATTTTATTCTAAGGCTTCTACACAGGTATATTACAGTATAGTGTCACTATTACGAATTTATTATTGTATTATTATTGCACTGGTAGTGGATATTACAAGGAATATCGATTCGATTTCCACGTGGATTTTGGTACCGTTTTTGAGTAGACTGTCACTCGATCGTTTACGTAGAATCTACGTGCTAACCCACGTTGAATCTACGTCGAATCTACGTATGTGTTCTCATCGGGAAGGAACCGCAGATAAAAAAAAATTCGAAAAAAACGGTTTTTTTCGTCTACCAGGAAAAGGAGGGGGGATGAGTGGTCGAAAAAATCGTAGAAAATTCTTTTTTTGGTATGCTTATAGAAATCCAAATTCATTTTTCGATTTCTTTGACAAGGGCATTTCGCCTATCTTACCGTAGGGTACCCTTTCACATTGATCCGTTGCTCGTGTTTTTCGTCACACATTGTTATCGACACGAGAAAAAAACACGTTCGTTTCTAACCTCTATAGAAAAAATACTACTACAGCGACAAAAACGTGTTTTCGTACTGGAATAGTAGACACTTCCAGCTATCCAACGCTGCATTCGTTTCCCACCCTACCCCTCTAGGACGCCTTCTGCGCGCGCAGTCTCGTTATTTAATAGCCAGACCTCGTATATGTACAATTCGCGCAATTAATGCCTTCCAACTCTGTTTTGGCATTACGTGTTACCTTCTCGGTTATTTTCATGTTAATGGCTGTAATAGACGGACCAGCCAGCAGAATTGCGCGAATTTCTCCAACCTCTATAGATTCCGTGTTCGTGACATCTCGAATGTGTGTGTTTAAAGTTTCATTGACAGTCGTAAATTTCGGTTTAAAATATATTTACATAACCAAATTTTTTATTATTTACTGCTCATAATTTATCAGATAAGTCGCCATTCTTCCTTCTTATATTTATTTAAACCTCTATAAAATTAAGAAAAAATATCTTTGTGCATTTTTTTTCTTTTGCAGAAGGAAGCAAACAAGGAAAAATTTTCAACGACTTGAATCTTTTAAGACTTTGACGGAAGAGGTTAATTGTAATGAACGGGTATCCTTTACATAGTATAATCCAAACAATATATATATTAAGAATAATAAACAATTTTAATCACTAATTTCTAGATTACAATATTTACAATTAATATTTAATCCAATAGCCATCCTTTTCAATCACTCGTTGCAAACGACTGTTCGTGGAGTTCACCAGATTGTGGAAAATTTGTGACCTCTCCCGTAGACTGTTCCAAGTTGCATATACATAATCGCTAATGGCCCATACATTTTCGAGTGGATTGTCTTCGGGAGAGGCCACAAATTTTTCACAATCTGGTGAACTCTATAAACAGTTGTTTGCAATGTGTGATTGAAAAGAATGGCTATTGGATTGAATATTAAATGTAAATATTGTAATCTTTAATTGTAAATATTGTAATGTAGAAATTAGTTATTAAAATTGTTTATTATTGTTAATATTATTATACATATTGTTTGAATTCTATCATATGTAAAGGATACCTTAACTTCTTCAGCCAAAATCTTAAAAGACTCAAATTATTCTTGTTGAAAATTTCTTCTTGTTCGTTTCCATTTGTAAAAGAAGAAAAATGCACAAAGATATTTTTCCTTAATCTTATATAGAAATTTAAATAAATATAAAAAGACAAAATGCAAATGATAAATATTGTAATAAACTGATCTGATAAAATTATGAGCCGTAAATAATTAAAAATTTGTTTACATTAAAA